GCACTTCTGCAACTTTTCTGTACAGCTTCATCAAGTGGCAGAAATAAGATATAGCTGATGAAACTGCATATATAATATCTATTCTTTCAGCATAGACTATATAATTTATCATGCTTAGAGCATGTCATCAGGAAAAGAATCACTACTGGATGATTTTAAACCAAAACTCTGAACATACAGGAGGAGGTTATGTGTTCAGCATATGTTCTAATCCAGCCGGGGTTAAATACACTGAAAACTGTCCATTAATGTTGCCGCACAGTACACACTCAGAGCTTCTTCCAATATCTTCTTCCAAGACCTGCCTGGCTACTGAGGGTGTTATGTGAACACTTAAAGGCATCAGACATCATTTACTCACAGCAGGTCGAAGACGACTCCCTCCTCAGTGCAGACAGGATACTCAAATGGCTGAAGGGACAAGCTGAAACATGTCACAGCACAAGTGTCAAACTCACTTCAGCTCATCAATTAACCAAAGTTCGTCTGTATAGCATCTTTCAGGCAGGTCAGTACAGCTCAAAATTATTCACAGATGACAACAAACCAATAAAAAGACATAACAAGAGTTAACAAAGCAAAGCAAATAACATACGGAAAAACATTCCTAGCATAAGGAATTCAAATTAAATTAGGAAAAATTCAATTAACTTAAAAATGTTTAAAAAGTAAGGTTAGATAAAATATGCTGTAAAGTACAATATCCACCAATATAAAAGCACCAATCAGTGAATAAAAATAAAATTATGTAACGATAAATAAAAATCTAAACAGTACAATGGGGAAAAAATTACTAATCAAATAAGGTAAAAGAAATAAGTGACTCGTGCAAATGCTGGGATGGAGAACGGAGTTTGAGTTTAAACATTTCCAGCTGCAACTTGGGGAACAAGAGCTAAAAACTGCCCAACCAGATGTTTGTCAGGGGACCTGGTCATACTCTGTCAGCATGAACTGATGGGAACAAAGCTATGACGTACCTTAACAACAAACAAACAAGAAAAAGCAGTTTCTGAACATAGCAGGATTTGATTCTATATATGGGGTTTAAAATTAGTTCAATTTTCCTTCCCTTCCTAATAAGTCACCTGCCAGTACTAAGAGAACAATTTGTTCCCAAGTGGACCAAACAACTGCATAATAAAACATCCTTCTTTTAATATTATAAGATGCTCTTTATAATTTGCAGAAATCTAGAAATGGGTTGGCTGGCAATTTTTTTTCTAGAGTGCCTCTTCTTCTTCGTCATCATCATGTTCTTCTTTCGGCTGCTCCCTTTAGGGGTCTCCACAATGATCATCTGACTCCATCTTACCCTCTCTCTATCATCCTGCTCTGTCACACATGCATGCCCTTCTTCACTACATCCAGAAAACATCTCTATGGTCTTCCTCTTTTCCTTCTCCCTGACAGCTCTTTCTTTAAAATCATCTCCATCTCAGCCTTGCCTCTCTACCTTTGTCTCCAAATCACTTAACCTGATGTGTTCATTTCTAATCCTGTCAAATCCTGCTCACCCCTAGTTAAAACAGTCTACCATCTTCAGCTTTGCCTCCTCTCTTTTTGTCAGTGCCACCATCTCCAAACTATAACACATCACAGCAGGCTTCACCACCATCCTTATCTTTTCCTCTATCACTTTACTCTTTTGTCGCTTTCTAAGGTGCCTCTTCTCATAATAAACGAGTCTCCTGTTACCTGCAGTGGTCGAAGGGAAGCCGTCTGAAGTTTCCTTGTGGGATTTCTGGAAAGTAAATACACAAAGAGAATGTAAGACAAGCAAAAATCAGTTTCATTTTTAAGGACTAAAAACCACTGACAAACCCCCGATCAAGTACAGCAGCCCTCAGCACTTTTTACCTTCAGAGGCTCTGGTTCATTTACAGTACTTTAGCCAAACTTAACAATTATAACATTACTTATAACGACTAACTATAGATATTGTAATCCGTGCAATTAAATATGACTCAATGATAAAAAAAAATATTAATTCAGGAACATGATTTCAAGCAGCTAAACAAACTAAAGCCCCCAAAACAGCACACAGCATAATATTGATTTTCCTTAAAGGCGAAACCCTTCTGAACACGCCTGTGTTAAAGCTTAGTGGGCTAGTCTGAAAGCACGCTGCAAAAACTTGCATAAACTTATATCAAAGACAAAAATAAATAAATAACATGAACAGTGTCTCCACAGACGCTGGTTTTAACCAGTTAGTCTGAAAATCAGCTCACCTGCTCGTTTCCCTCCATAAAAGTTCGTGTACTCTGTACATGTGATGTACCTGAAGGGTTAAACAAAACACAGGTGAGACAACAAAGGCAACGATACAACTTTAATGATAACACTTTAAACTGTTAGTAACGCAACACTCAATACGCTAATGTGGGTTAGCTTGCTACTAGCTTCTTAAGTGCTAACGGTGGCCAAACAAGCCCGTTTCAGAGCTGTTTGATGCTCACGCTTACATTTTGTCTTTCTGGTGCTGTCGCTTCCCCATTTTGACTGATTTTGCAGGTCTGAAGAAATATCCTCAGTCACAAAATAAAATATTAAGACAATAACACGCAATAACCACTGTGTGCCTTTCCTATCTTCCTGTTTACGTTCTTTGTCGTCGTCGTGATTAACTGTACACTGTATGTAACAGCTGCACTCTGCTGCCCCCTATCGACAGTCCGGTAAAGACATTTTAAGCATTGAATTGAAACAATTAAATAAGGAGCTATACACAATCATGTAGTTCGGTCAGAAATAGAGTATTGTGACTCTCTGTAGAGGTAAATTGTAGGATTTTTATGAAATATGTAAAAACAGTGTTTGTTTGTTTGTTTGTTTTACCATCATTGAAATAAAATGAAAGAGTGACAACCACAGCCTAATTTGGAGTTCCAAATTCATACTGTAGACATACTGTATCATACTGTATTTTTGAAATCAACAATTTTGTGTTTTATGTCTTTTTATGTCACAGTTGAAAAACTGTTTTCTCATTCATTCTGTGAGCCTGCAGTTCATCTCTTTTACTTTTGGGGACTGCAAAGCACACACACTTAGCAGAATTTACGGTTGAGCAGAGAAAGCATCTACTGGGGCTCATAAGAGCACTTGAAATGTTACACAAAACAGGTTGATCATAATTTTTATCTGATAAATCATAGTCATACATGATAAAAACACCAATCAATTTTTTGCTGCTTTTTTTTTTTTTAACCTTATGTCTACATTTTATTTTGCCATGTTTATTATATTTTATTGCTGCTATTGTTCTTGTGTTATTGTAAGGTGACCCTGAGGGTCTTAAAGGCGCCTATAAATAAATTATATATTATTATATATTATGTATTATTATTATATTATTATATTATATTATCATCATCATCATCATCCATTTGAGTGTATTCAAGTTGCCATAAGCCAAACAGACAGGGTCACAAAAACAAAACATTTTAATCAATATTTTTAATAGGCTGACAAGTTGTCACTAACTTCCGCTGCCTGCGTCCACGCACACTGTAACTGTTTGCCAGTAGATTGATTCAAGGAAGATAGAGTCAAACGTCAAACGATCTTAACCTGGAGCCAAACAAAAGCTATGTGTGCATTTATGCACTTGGCACAGTAACACTATCTACAAAGCACAGATCAGACACGTTTTCAGCTTTATAAAGTGACCTCCACGCCAGATTTAAAACTGATTTATCCACAAGATCCTCAGACAATTTCTAACTGAAGAGTTTATGTTTACATAAAAAACACAAACTGTCCTTCAGCTGCCTAATTTGTCCGACGGTCTGTTTCCAGAAAAAACAGCGTGTAAAACCTGCACTTACCCTGTATACTTTTGGAAAGCATTTTATTCGTTCCTCACGGGTCTGCTCGAGTTTGATCCACTATTTTGTGTTCTTCTTAGTGGAATCCTTCATATCACTGAACTTACCAAACTGGCTGCGTTTTCGCAAACTACAGGCTCACTTATGTAAAATGATCAATTTTCTTCATTACAAATCTGTTGAATCGTCCAGAACCGTCCTGTCCGAGCTTTGGACACGTATTTGTCTTCATCTTCTTTTTCCTCTTCCAATCTGTGTAGCTGCATCTCTTATTTCTGACATTATTTCTCAGTGTACAAACATAACAAGACAATACAGGATAAATTCATCTACAAGTTTATTCTTTTCTTGGCAATTAATTCGTAATTATGGCTAATCATTGACCTCTTCTAACAAGAGAAGGGAGCAAACAAAACTGGTTACAGAGGCATGATCCAGGGCCGGGTGGTTAGTAAAATGTTGTAATGTGGAGCATTCAGGTACATTCAGATTGCACACTTGTCCTCTGAAGCATGAACACATGATAAAGCTCGACCAATCCCTTATCCAAGAAACAATAAGGACATTTTTAAACTTCACACAGACACCTTTAACGGTAGAGGATGATCTGGAGTGATGGGGTATAAAAATAGAATACAGCGCAGCAACACAAGCACCGTCTGCATACCTGAGTTACAACTTGCTTTCACTTCTCTCATCACTCATTTAAAAGAACAAAGAATAAATTATATACTCCACACTGGACTTCATGTTGCAGACTGAAAAACTCAAAAAAAGTTTATGTTCTCATCCTTGGCACTTTATCCTTCAGGCAGAAACCAAAATGTGACGATGGTGCAAGAAAGGTTTGGGTTACCAGACGTGCATCTCTCACTGATGAACGAACATCTTTATTAATGACAAAAGGAAAGAAGTACACCGCACACTGACAGAAACAAAGGGCCCCAAGAACAAGTCCTTCAGCTGGTTGCTTGTTTGGAAAGTGCAACAATATGTGGAATATCTTCTTAACAGAACAAAAAACATAAAAAGAAAAACGTTTGCAGCGTTGTTCTATTTGAGAACAACCGAGGTCCATAATTATGGTAAACTCGCGGCCAGCATCTGCTCAGAACCGCCCTGAAAATAAAAATGAGTGTTTTTTTCCCCCCAGCTTGATGAAACAGTCTGTGAGTGTTTTGGTGAAACAAAGGAAAGAGATCACCGCAAATCCATCATGGACACGGTGCCATCAGTGATGGTGACATGTCCGGCGTGCTGAAAAAGGAGAAACACATTTCAGTTACATGCTCAAACAGTTAGCCACTCTGGGGTACGGTACTCCAGGAAGAGTACCGTACCCGGTACTCCAGGAAGAGTACCGTACCCCGTACTCCAGGAAGAGTACCGTACCCCATTCCCATCCCTCCTCCCCCCAAGCAGAGCCAAACAAGAGCTGGACTGGGAATCGCAGCAGACGTTTCATGTGGAGGCAGATATACGTCTCCTTGTGATTATAGCAAAGTACTTTTGAAATATTTATTTCCTGGTTTACGCTCTCTTAACATTAATTAGCATGCTGTTGGCCAACGATGTGGACAGTGAGCCATTCATAAAGCTGTAATATCACACGTTTGCACACAAATAACTTGCGGAAAAATCCTTTTAAATTCTATTTTGGGACAAAAAGAATCAGTTTCTCAAGCTTTTGTTTTTTTAAACAGATTTGATTCTATACATGCAGTTTTTCATTACTGATGTAATAAATAAAAAAGCAATTCTCAGGAAGCTTCAGGTAGTTCGATCTGATGAAAGTTATCCAGCCCACAGATTAGTACGGAGTTAAAACTGGATGGCTTTCCTGATGCAACCCTCCCATCTACCCGCCTTTGGGACGGCCATTGTGAGGACACTAAGCTTGTGACTCCCTGAGGCTGGATTTGTGTCTCCTCCTTGTTTGGATGCTGGGATTCTTCACATGTTAGAGAAATGTGTTAACTATTAAAACATTTAAGTTATTTTATTGAAAAAGTAATAATCAAATCTATTTAAGATGTTTAATTTTTCTCTATGAACCTTTAATCTGACTGAGATACTGCAGTAAATATAAGAAAACGCCTCCTATTGAGTAGATTTGAGTACTCTTTGAGTTAACTAACCTTTTAAAAGTGACCCAAATATCTCATATAAGGAAGAAAGAAAAAGCTACACTGAACCCTGGGTCATCACTTCATCTGCACTTTTTTGGCAATAAGCCCTGCCCGTGCCAAAAATCATATATGACTTTCCACAGAAAACTGTGCACAGTACATCTACGTATCTGTAGGGAAGATAAACTGTACTCTACAGCTGCGGGAAACAAGATCTTTATTCTGGAGTGTTGCATCTACCTCCATAGCACCCTGGCACGTAAAAAAAAACCAGGCATGTGAGAATTTTTAGTCATACGTTATAAACATGTTTACTTTTTGCAAGACTACAGTTGGATTCCTTTTGAGGTTATTTCCCATCATGCACATGGTGGAAATTTACAAGCAGAAAAACTGGAGCAGAAACAAGGAAGGAGCTTTTGGCCACACCTGCAGTTTTGTGTGGAGTAGTTTGTTCTAAATAAAGATAAAAGAGCTTTAAAAAATAAAAAAAAAAGATCTGGCAGAATGTGGGCACAGCATGGAGAGAGCGCAGACTTTGAAAACTTCAAATAATGTTAAACATGGCTGACTTTATTGGAACGCCAAGACAGGAAAAAGACTCAGTTTCCTGACCACCAAACAGCAGATGATGATGATGCAATCCCACTACAGCTTTAGTAAGACTTGAGGTTTTACTGCGACACTGAAATCACTTTAATAGTGATTTGGTGGGAGGCCAATACTTTTCCTTGTTCTAACTGGCTGGTTAGAGGCAAGTAAAATAAGTTTCCAGGGGAAGTCGTGAGGCTCAGTCACTCAGTCTGTCAAGATGAGATTATTTTTACATCATTATTAACAATCCTTCGAAAAATAAAAGACTCCAGTTAGTTACTGGAAATTATAATCCTGTTTAAAGACTTTGGGATTTTCAAAATAAAATGTAACTCCAGTTATAGGAGTTATAGAAATTAATCTGGATGCACAGAAGATGTTTTCAATAAAAGCCACCAGTTAATTATAGGATGCTTTAGTGTTAGATTTTTCAAAATAACAGCGTGTTTTTCTTTTTTTGTGCCACTTGCAGTTAAATTTGTTTTTATAATCCTAAATCATCTCTACAACTTCAATATCCCCAGAAATTGCATCGTTTTCTTTAGCGATACAAATTCTGTCCATTTGCGACAACACTGCATCCATGACTTCACAGCACAGATATACTTACTGTAAATAGAGGTGGCTCTTTGCTGTGAGGATGAAACCCTTTCTGTTTACATGTGGAAATCTCATCTGTTCCCCGATCTGTCAATCTGAAGTAGCCAATTCTGAAACACGCACACACACACAAACACACACAAACACACAAAAACACAACACACACACACACACACACACACACACACTCTTAGATCACAGAAAAAGACAAAAAAAAAACATCCCATAGTCTGTAAAGACAGGACACTGAGTTCTCCAACTCACTCGTTGAATTTAGGCGAGCAGACTATAGCGATGGCCTCTGGCAGCATGATCTGGTAGGAGCAGTGCGTGTGGAGGTCTACGCTGGACAAGAAGGCTGTCTGTGTGGGGTGAGTCTGGGAAACACAGAGGGCAGACCTTAGTTTACTTCAGTGCTCATCACACAGCAGAACAGGACCAGTGGCAGCCATGAGGACTTATTCTTGTGAGCCAAACTGTAGTTTATGCAGGTCAGAATGTCTAAAAAAAAAGTGTAACTATACACGTGAACTAATACAAATTCAAAACCAATCAGTGAACAGTTTTACATTAGGCGGCAGGTTTTAGTACCTACTCGGCACTTTGGTTGATACGAGGTTCCACACAGTTAAGCAGCATTAAAGTACGATTCATTACTGAAGAATGTGATGGGTGGTTTCTAATCCCTCTGTTTAGACAGTTTTTGACAGCCTCCATTAAACAGTCCTCAATTTTAGCTTCATATTTGAGCGTTGCTTCTTCCTGTTCTTGTCGCTATTTTCAGAATGTTTTTGTAGATGCAATGAGGTTGCAGTTACATCTTTACTCGTGTGACTGAGCCATTGGTTTGCTCTGAGTTAGGAAGAATCTCAGTATGAGGTGAGCGCTCTTATTTGTAGTATTCATATAGTATTTTAATTTATTTAATATAATGCTAATATTTGGTGTTGTTGTATTAATACAATATCACCACACAAAATATTACGATACTTTTTCCCCTCAGCCCTCGTGAACACATGAGGAAAATCTATTTTAGTGTGAAATCAGACACAGAGGATTACCTCACTATGAATCAGTGACCTCCTTTTTAAGACATTTTACAGGGTGGCTTTGGTGACGTCTTTATCTTCTGGTTATCGTCTTATTTATCATCTATGCCTGATTTTACTCCTATAATTTACACGCATTTATATTTTTCTCTTCTGACATGCTCTTGTTTTAAAATTTCAGTGAGTAATGTTTTAATCTATTCTTTGAATAAAGTTTATAAGCTAAGCTGATTGGTGTGGGTGACTCTGATTATTCGTCAGCACTGACGCCAACCTGCCCATCTTTTACTCACATGTATCCAGCCGAGTGTGATGAGATCATACTGGTCCTGCATGAGGAAGAGTTCCTCCTCGTTTTCTGTGTCACAATAGTCCGGTCCGCCGCACTGCTTTGGTACGATGACGTGGGTCACAGTAAACGCATTTCTGGTCTGGACCAAACACAAAAAGCGTCTTGCTTTTATACTCATTTAAATTATGCATGTCCTGCTGTCTGCCAAAGTGCTACCCAAGGGCACTGCCTGCACAAAATTAACACTGAGCACTTACAGAGCTGCTAGCAAAAACGCTCAGTCATGCTCATAGAAAAGTGGAAAGAGCTTGAAGTTAACCCACCAGCAAATGATATAATGTAAACAATGGGCAGAGTAGCCAAAGAGCAATGAGATAAGAGTCAAATTATCTTCTACACCTCTGAAGAGGGACATCAACTGTTGTTTAATTTAAAATCCACATTCATAAAATGTTCACAGTCTCAGAATTATTGACACAACATTTAGCACCTCTGGGCTCAAGGGCTGCATAAAAGCAACCTATCGCTCCAGCATAGCTACACTGTTCCAGCTTCTTACCAGTTTGCCACATAGGATGCCACAAGTTTCTACAGCTCTGCTTGTGTTGGCCTCAGCCAACCTCAGAAAGCTCCGGCACAACTCAGCGGGAACAGCCAACTGCCGAAGGGCATCCACCATTGTATCTGCAGAGACCATACACAAAAGCTGAATGGGAAAGTTAGACTCTTGTGAGATTCTGAAACAAGTCATGGTGCAAACAAACAAACAAACGAAATTAAGTAGGTCGGGGGGGAAAGAAATCAGCTCAGAGGAATAAATACTTTCACCCAGGAGCAGGGCAGCGCTTTAAATCCTGTGAAGGCCAGCCCACCGTGACACAAAAGAATGAACTCACTGTTATTACCCGGGCTGACCAGAGACCCCGGCTTGAGTGAGCGGTCAAAGCTGGGCGGGCCGGTGGTGGGTGTGCCGATGGATGTGGGAGGGCGGTTATGTTGGTGGTTGGACAGTTCTCCTGGGATCTGAGGAAAGGTAGGGGAGACTAACGGGGGGCCCTGGATGCCTGGGATGAGGGGTGTGTCAGAGGAAGGCTCAGCCGGAGTGGCAAACTCCAGAAGCACTCGTTGGCGCTCCTTCTCCAACTCTTGGCGGCGGATCATCTCCTCAAAGGCACTGAACTGCTCCTGCTCCCGCTGCCGCCGCTGCATCTCGGCCACACGTTCCCGCTCTGCGTCCAGCGCTCGCTGCTTGGACTGCTGCCGCGCCAACACCTCCTCCTCCTCTTTCTGAGCATGTAGCAAACACATCACATACTGGCTTAGTTTCAGCCGTGGTTTCTCTTTTTGGCCCTTTTTTTAAACAGCAACATTAAATGTATTGATCTTTTTGATGATGAAACAAGTTTGCTGTAGAACAGTTAGTGTGGCACATGAACTGCTACTGATTGACTATTCAAGGTCAGCTTAGGTGCATATTAATGAACTGTGATATGAGGTTACTGTGGGGCTTGTTAATGATTCACCTGCTTATGGACTTTAAATGTAAATTGGTTTTTATTTAATTACTTCTAATCTCTTAAACCTTTCCAGTGTGACTTAACCTCCTCGGACCTGGCGTCCACATATGTGGACATCACATTTTGGGATGTCTAGACCAAAATAAAAAATTTTACTCTACAAGGGCCTGATAACCACTAACGAGGACATTATACTGCAAATGTTCTATTGAAATTTAAAACAAAATGTCCTCATATGTCAATCTTATTTTTGTCAGAGATAAAATCAGGTAAAAAAAAAAAAAATCTGGAAATTCTTTGTTTTTACATTCATCAGGTCCCAAACAGCCCAAATAGCAAAGAGAATTTAAAAATGCATGCCATGAAAGAGTTCGGGTCTTAGGAGGTTAATGCAGCAATGTGATGCAAGGGTGTAAATTCACAAAAGAGTTTTTCAGCTCACCTTTTTGACAAGATATTGAGCATATTCCTGTTCAAATCTTTTCAGTAGAGCCTTTTTGAGAATCTCAGCCTGAGGAAACGCAACATCCTTCAGTTTCTGTAGATTAATCAGAATGAAGTAAGTGTCAAACTTTCCTTGAAAACAATTAGTAATGCAAAAAAACAAACAAAATAAAACTGGATGACGACCTTTAGTGTATCCTTTTTCTCAGGAATGTTGGCTGTCTTATAATCCCGATGCTTGGGAAGTTTTTCTATAAAGAGCCTTAGGAGGGGGAAAAAAATATCAAGACCCATAAAGGTCAGAAAACTCTTAAGAGAGGTCTTTACGTAAACTCCTTCAGCTTACTTCAGTCAATGTGGACAGAAATGTGAAAAGACACTCACGTAATATATTTATTGTAAAGGACAAAGGCATGCTCGATGTTGCCCTCCTCCGTGTAGATGTTAGCCATGCGGATCATCTCCATGCCTGAGCGGAAGTAGCGGCGTGGGGGCATGTCGTCATTAATCTCCACCGAGCTGCCCTTCTTGGTCAGGGCGCGGACACGCTCCTCCGGCTGCAGGCTGACATCAGTGTGATCGGCCATCACGATGGCTCAACCTGTAAGACTGGAGAAACAGGCTGACTCAGTGGTGCCTTTAAGCCAACAGTGGATTCATAACGCCGGGTTTAAACATCCGAGAGCCTTTGAACACACCGTCAATCTGAATTCTGACTTGGAGGTAAAACTAAACATGATTATTTTGGTTAATACTGAGAAAAAGACAATTTAACACAATTATTCAAAGACTGTGCAGAGTCAGACTTTCATTCTCAAACAGGAATTGGAAAGTCTAAGCAGGTAAAAAACAAAACTATAGAGCTAACTAGAGTGCGGAATAAATAAGAGAACATTTAGTTGGCCCCTTTAAACCTCTAAAATGCTGCACATTTGTTTCACAGTTTTTATGTCAGACACTGCTTCATCTGCTTTCAGAACTCTCTACAACCTTCATGAGTCCTAAGGAAATGTACATTTTATTAGAAGTTAACAGCAAGAAGGAATCTTGAAAAAAAAAAATTAAGGCATATCCAGCTGGAGTTTTTAACAAATGACTCTATTAGGAATTCACAATGACATCACTGGAAACTATGCGTATATAGAGTATATTTTAAGTTAATTAATTCAGTAAGTATGTAGGAAACACAGACTCTCGTATACGCTAGCACAAAGAGGCAGTGTGTCCTCAGTATCAAGGCCACAACTCAGTCTAAAAATCACTGGCTACTGAATATATTTAGGGAAAAAAAAACTGCTGGGAGGGTCGATTTGGTGTGACTCGAGGTTCTCTAGGCTTCATCAGCATGCTGACTAACAGTCAAATGGCTGCTATTGATTCTCCCATGATGGCTTCTTGGCTAGAAGGCACAGAAACACAGTGTGTAAAGAGGCGGCCACTTCTTAACAGTTTAGCTCAAGAGGTGTGGCGCTGATAAAAGCAGCGGAGGGGTGGTACTTGTGGTTCATGTTGTCCGGTGCTATCTACCGTTTTCTTTCTAACATACACAGCTGCACAAACAGTCTTGTCCCCCCGCCCAAAAACCCCCAAAAAAAACAATACAATTGTGTGTGTATATATAGACTATATTATATATGGTCTATATAACAAGTTAGTAATATTACGTAACATATTTAGACACTGCTTTGTTAAGTCTAAATTATTTATGTTGCCCACATAAAGTAGATGATGAGCATAAAACTAAGGAGATATTCATGGAGAAAAACTAAACTTTATTACCAATTACAACACTGATATCTGCATAAAATATTGAAACTTGTTTTGTAGACTCAGAATAGGCCTGTAGGAAGTGACTACCCGTGATGGTATTTTTGGCAAACAAAATTTGCTTTAAGGGTAAGTGTCTGTAAGCCTAATTATAAAAACGGCTTAAAGATATTATGTATTTAAAAAGGTGTTATTTTTCATTTGGCTCCAATACTCTTCTTCTAAGCAAGAAAGCCTAGAGAAACCTTAAACCTTTTAACATGATTATCCAGTAATCTACCCTTATTGTAGACTCACACAGAATTAAAACAGGCCGAAGAGATGACACAACCACAGCTGGGGTTGGCAGCGTGTGATACTAAATTTTATAGTTGAGATCAACCCTCAAGAACTTCAGAAGCATTCAGTCATCAAATGCGGGTAAAAATTAGATTTCTCAACACGACTGTATTTTAAGTCTATATAACTATATAATATCAAAATTAACCTGCAATAAAAACACGAATAAGGTGCTTGACATGAATAAATTCCTTAGAAAATTTATTGACAGAGTATTTGAGAAAGTAAAACGTAAAAACCACAGTGACAGTAACTTTTATGTTTACAGTCAGTGTGATCTTTATAGAAACGGGTAAATTACAAATGTCGTGCCAGACTTCGTTTTTTATCCAAACAATTTGCCAGCTCGGTCATGGCCTATTTAACCTTCAGGGTTGCTTTCACCTCCTTTAAAAACTTCACGACACTCCCTGTGTGTCACTATATTTTCCCATCGATCCCTGTATCCCTGTCACTGAACTGATCGAGCTCTTTAAAAACGTCGCGTTAGCCTGTGCTAAGTTAGCCTCTAATAAACGGGTAAAAAGCTCTCCACCTCCGTACAAATTCCATCATCCTTCTTACCTGATCGAGCCGTGAACCTGAACCCGAAGCTCCCACAGAACTACATACAAGTGGATAATAAACACGGTCAAATTACGGCCCCAAGGCTAATTGTTAGTAAGCTGCGCCTACAACCAACAGCATCTGTACACTTCCGCAATCAAAGCAACTTCCGCCCGACTAATCCTCACGCAAGCGCAGAAGTATCCCTGTAATTTAGTTTCTTTCGCATGTATATGGGCTTTGTGTTGTGTTTAAATATATATACACTGATCTGATTTTTAAAGGTGAAATTTTTCAGACAAAAAATTGATTTATTTTAAGTGTTTGATGGTCATTTTGCAGTCTTTTGCTATTTGTTTGTGTAGCTATTGACTTCATGTGTTTTCAAGCTTTTCCTATATAAAAACATTTTCTAGCATTTCATTGGACAGTTCGCCTCGTACTTTACACACGCATGCGCTGTCCTTCCCCAGGTGGCCTTGTGCTCTGGTACTTTCCCTTGCTTAGTGATATGCATTTGAAACGGCTGGTCCAGAACAGCGGATGCGTTTCAGGCTGAATGGGGTGACGTCAGCCATCAGCCCAGGCACCAACCAATCAAACCACGGTATCCTGAGAGAGAGCGACGTGGTTACTCGTGCAGTCTGGCATCAAAATGTCGAGACCTTGAGTACTGTGCTCAATAATGAATATACTGTAAATTAACAGTGTAACCAGCAATTAGCCTAGCTCGTTCGAATATGATGGACGATGTTCCACGAAGCAGCATGGCTCGTTGGTCTAGGGGTATGATTCTCGCTTTGGGTGCGAGAGGTCCCGGGTTCAAATCCCGGACGAGCCCTTTATTTGTTAATGTTTACGGACTGTATGAGATCGTGGGAGCTTGGGCAGTAAAAAAAAAAGTATACACATCCATTGATGTAGCGCACTTTATGCAAATGAGTTCTCACTGTGTTCGTCAGGCTTATCTGCGTGTCTTTAGGGTACTTTGTGGGTTTATTAATTATATAATCGTAAATAGAATTCACATGAAATGTTCTGAATTACACGGTAGGGATGGAACAACACATTTATTTTGAATTACTTTTTGTGATCACAGTTTACTTCATTATATTAATTGAACATTTAAGGATGAAATTGGGAATTTAAACCAAAAATTAAATGACAAATAAATTTGGAAAATAAATCCATCCACTCCTTCTTTTGTAGAGTTCTTACCATAATAACATATTTGTTTGCTTTGGCATATTTTATATCATGACCTGTATTTATTTTATTATATTAAATTCATTTCTGCTAGTTTTTTTTAAAGGTTTAAGATATTTAGCAATATTGTTTAGCAACACATGAACGTTTTAAATCATTGGTCAGTTGCCACTAATGGATAAATAGCTTGTTGACCTACTTCTCATTTTTAAAATATTTTGCTTCCAAGGTGCCAGACTTTCATATAAGTTGGTAAAGTGGGGTTTTTTTTGGGTTTCTGCAGGTCTATCAAATTTCTTCTTTGCAATTTCTTCTTTCTATGCATAAAATACAACAAGCATTTTTGGGCATGTCTATCTCAAAAACCTACAATTTGTAATTTAGTTTACTCTTAAAAAAGAGAGACAAAGACAACAGAGTTTGACAGGCATGAAATAGTATTTCTGCACAAATAAAGTGACCCCCAAAGCATCTGAAATGAGGGTGTATTTCTTTTCTGAGGAAAAAAAAAGTTGGGGATGAAAGATGTGGCAGGCCTGAAAATCCTATCTACAGCAGGCAGAAAGGGAATCAGGTACGACAGTGAATGTGTAAAGCCCTCTGTAAAACACAGTGGAAGCATGTTGATGGCTTTGCACTTCATGGTGATTGCCAAGATCTTATCAAAGATCTTATCTTATCAAAAATGACAGAAATATGGACACAGATAAATACTATGAGGGAATGTAATTTGGAGGGTGTCTGACTGGCAGAAGGTTTATTTTTCACAGACTGATCCCAAACAGACTGGCAATGCAGAAAAAGCATACTTAGATAGAAAAACACACAGAGGAGCATGGACCGGGCTAGCCAATGTTCAATAATGATGACCTCAACATTAGTGAATAGTCAACTACCTCACTTTTTGTTCAACAATAAACAACCTATAACAATCCTTTTTTGATCCTTTTAATTATAATTCAGGTAGTGTGGGATCATCTTGAGAATATATATAATATGTAGAATGATGAAGTAAAATAGAATATCACAAAACATTAGTTAAACTAATGTTAGGTAAAAATTAAAAAAGTTAAATAAATATAAATTTGAATGTAAAGTAATATAGCTCACGCATAATCAGGGTACCGGGTTTTCGTGCAGTACCACCTTTGAACGCAAGGTGGCAGACACGACCATGTGGAAAAAGCCAGTGCGGTCTGTGACATCACAGTGAAAACGACCACATCCTCCACGCGTTCCTGCTGCCAGGGGCTAAAAAGCAAGCGTCCTGTCTGTGTGAACGCCTGAGCAGTGCCGGATGGATCGTCCCCACCACAGCTGACATTTTCACTCCCTGTATTTGACGTCGCGGTTCGTGTCGGAGCCACGGGAATTGAATTGTTGACAGGAATTGACGTCAAGCCTGATTTTCTGTCCCTAACAGTGGCACCCGGTAAGCTAACTCTCCAGGCTAATCTAAAACCAGCTAATATACCTGACTCCAGGTTATCAGACCACTAAGATAAAACGTCTGCTCAGTTTTATTGATGAACACAGGGTAGTGTGTCCGTGTTTATTCAGCGTAAGCATTTAAGACCATAGCTAAATAATCAATTGTTTTTTTAGTGTAGAAGCTAACATTATAAAGCTAGATAAGTAATCTTCAAGCTTTTTAACTCATTCAGTTTGGGTTTAGTGTTCTCCACGATAATCCATAGATTTGTCTTTGGTGAGAAATAAAGGAGTGCAGACAGGTGAGACTCACCCAGGTGTCTGTAGAAATCTGCCAATAAAAAAAGAGTCCCTTTAATGTATGCATGTAATCTGTTTCCTGGCACACATTAAATCTCATTTTGGTCACTGGAAGTCGGAACTGTTACTCAGTACTACTACTGCTTCTAATTTTTACTCCACGTATATACAGATGTATTGCATAGGATGAGTTAATTGTTAATTTATCTTTTATTGCTCACGCTGACAGTTGCTTAAACCTGTAAAGTCCACTGCCTCGTCAGTCGTTTAGGGTCGCTTGTAGTTTATAGGTCACATTATGAAATGTTATAGTTTATATTACAGTCTGCAGAAAGTTAAAAGTAATAATGATTAGGAGTATTGTGAATGAGATTGGAGCCTTTACAAGTATCTCAAAGGCCCTTTATTTTAATTGTTAACTTTACAATTCAGTTTAGTGTTTTATTTAGTTGTATTTCATTTTATTACTTTCAGTGTTATTGTTGTAAAATAACTACAGTGTGTGTACATACAGACACTATGGTTTTGAGATATGAGCACAGAGGGGTGTACTACAAACATGGTTTAACACAGCCAGCCTTTCTTTGCATTAGCTGGTGTGACCAAAGCTAACAAACCAAACATTTGGGGATAAAAGATATCAAATTCTCTGTTAAGCTGACTTTCTGCTTCAGGCTCTGTGGGCTTTCACATATAAAGGGGCATGTCGCATATGTCATACGATTCTTGCTTTATAAGATATACATTAATCATTTTTTAAAGCAATGATGTTAAATTTGTTTGGTGCTGAACTTTGTAAAATAAAAAAGCATGGCAGCTTTTCCTTTGACAGCTCTCTCTCTGTGCGTGCACCACCTACACAAACATGTTGTGCGTGGAGTGGAGCCAACACTAGACATGTGAAGGGAAATACTATTAATAGAGTTTGGATTGCAGGTGAGAAATGAGCAAAGATCTGATCTGAAAAGATGTGCCTGTTGTCACTGATGCATGATCTGGCTTTTTTCAGTCAGGATTAGACTGACATCTGTCCTCCTCTTGCCATCAGTGGTGCATTTTCGATATGAAATTGGGACGGGTGAGATGTTTCACTGCTCTCACAGGCCCGTTGGGTGATGTGTATGCGCTTTACTTTGTGTGCTAAAGGCCCTGGATTCATATTTTGTTTGTTCCACGCCTGTATGATAGCACATAATAATGCGCTATCATACATACTTTATATGTGCATTATCTGCAAGCACCTCAAGCTTTACAGTTATATACAACAAGATGCTTTACTTTATGTGTGAATCTGCCGTTTTCAAAGGCTTTTCTGACTGCTATCATGGCTTGCTGTGCGTCTCGTTGTTCTTCAAGCATTTAACTTGTCCCAGGTCATGGTTTCCTTTCACTAATGGATTTCAAAAAATTGCGTAAAAAGTGCACGCAACAACAAAAACACTATAATCTAGAAACACGGTTTGCCGATCTGTTCAGCTGTTCGTGGCACTTCCTACGTTGAAATAAACGTCATCGTGTTATCAGAACAAACTATCACGTGTCAGCCATTATTTGCAAAACCCAAATTTTACATTTTTGCAGGAAATGTAGTTTATTTTCCCCCTCGGGGCCTTTTAAATGCCCACTGGTGCTACTGAAAGAACTATACAGTATCTGTATAATTCCAGGAACACTTAGAACTTTGACCTGTTGAAAATGGTTTATTTTGATGCACATGCTGCATTTTGCAAATTGTGCACAATATTTATTTTAGTTTTTGCTGCAGTTTTTAAAAATGAGCTTATCTCAGAAATTATGAAGACACTTAAAATAAACTTCCTGTGATTGGAAACTATTTTGCATAATGTTTTTGCATTTATAGATTTAAGGGATATCTTTCACATTTCTGTAACTAGAAAAACGATTTTCAGTTTCTTTTGTAGTATTTGCACTTTTTAGCAATTTATGTAGTTACTAGGGGTGCAAGGATACACAAAATTCACGGTTGGTTTGATACTTTGGTGACACGGTTCAATATTTTTTCGATACAAAGAAAATGTTCATGCTTTTTTTAATTTGTCATTTATTAAAATTATAAATATATATATTTTAACTCAAACGTACAGTTTTTAAATTTAATGTTGCTGAAACAACAAAATACTAAATCCATCTGATTGAGGAATCCCTCATCTTTGGAAAAGAGAGTTTATTACAGAGAAATGGCTCTTTCCAAAATAAAAGCTATACTATACGCTTCTTCTGGGCTATATTCTCAGCAGCATATTAAACATATCAGGTCCCCATAAGGAGAATCCTGTGCTAACGGCTGTCTAAATGACTCGGGTAAAGTTTGTAGCATGCTGCTTGTTGTTTTTGTCTGCTTCCACTTGTCTTTGCACTAGGATGATGTCGGAGTAAATGTGCAGTCATATTCGTTGTGTTCCCACTAGTGCTGTCAGCGTTAATCTCGTTGAAATGACGTTAACGCCAAACACGGCAAATCTCCGTTAACGAGCTACCGCGGATCGCCCCGTGCGTGGGGCTGGACGGCGTCAACACGTTAACAGAGCTAACGCACTAGTTCCCACCAATTGAGCATTGCGTGGCACATCCGACATACTGTTTTACTTTTGTCCATGACGCGCTTACCTCAGGGTCATACTTCACATGAAAACCAAAATAGTTCCAAACGCCAGATCTGAATGAGGGTGGGGGAGGTTCAATTTGCCATGTTGCAACGAGCTTAGCTTCTGTCTTGCTAGCTTGCGCTGCGCTCAGTGGATCTGCGCTCGACAGTGCAGCCTAGGCGGAGTAGTCGAACGCAGATCCACTGAGCGCTCAACACAGACAGCATCGTCAGAAGAAAAGTTGGGCTAAAATAAATTAAAATATTTTGTACTTGTAAATCAGTTTTGTGTGTGTGTGTGTGTGTAAAAAGAAACAAACTCTTGTAGAGGACATAAAGTCAGAGATAGAAAAGACAAGGAGCAGGTGCATCTAGTACAGGTAGAGCTGCTGCAAAAACCCACAGAGCCCAGCAGCCAGCGCAACAAATTCTGGATCCTTTGCTTTTAGTTAGCATTAGCAGCACATCCTGCGTCCGATGTGAAAGGACTTTTATGCTGCGCACTGTGACTCACAGCAATGGTCCCGGGTCAGCCCTGACTTTGTGTTAAACTAATCCTAAAGTAATAATGGTATTTCTAACCACTGATATACCACAACTTTATCCTTTCAACAGCTGCTGAAAGTTAGGGGACCTAGCTGCTATCGGATATTTATATAGAGATCCTCCAGCTTCAAACTGTATTACCCTTCAAGGCAAGGCAAATTTATTTGTATAGCACAATTCAACAACAAGGTGATTCAAAGTGCTTTACAGAGACATTAGAAACAAAAACAAATAAAAAGCATGATTTAAAATTGATTAAAACAAGCAAACAAACAAACTAACTAAACACACACATTTCACACCTGTTCGCGCGATCTGAACCCTTATCGTAAGGGGAGCTACCAGTCCTTCTGTGGACGAGCTACTTTCTATTTTAAATTCCCTGAATTTAAAATACTCTCTAGACCCAGTCTAGACCCAGCTGGGGAGCTACCCAGAGCTCTAAACCCACACCTGTTCGTGCGATCTGAACCCCGCAGGACCTGCAGTTCAAAAAAAAAGCGCCCCTCCGACAGCCAAACCCATCTGTTCTCTGATTGGATTGTTACATTTGTGATTGACATGACAAAAATAGGGTCAAAATTCGTACTTGTAACTTGCAGTTTTTTTTTTTGTTTTTTTTTTGGCTAAGTCCACACTCAAATCTTTTTTACGCACACTCAAATCTTTTTTACGCACACACAAATTCTTTTTACACATACTGAACTGATTTACAAGTACAAAATATTTATGACCACATTTTGAGCCCATAGTGAAAAGTTGATAAAATAAATATAATTTTTTGTATTGTTCGATACATATGTGTACTGAACTGAAAGCACTGTATCGAACGGTTCCATATCGATACGAGTATTGTTGCACCCCTAGTAGTTACTATGGACTTAATGCATACCTATTATTAAAATTTGGGATATAATGGTTGTATTGATGCATAGCAACTTGAAATACTCCAAAAAAAGGCTCTACAGCATTTGGATCAGAGCTTCAGTAAGAAATGCAGATTCTTTGAAACAACTTTATTCATGTTGGCTGCAGTCTAAAAATAATGTTACTGCGCTTTATACAGAAGAATAACAATAACAAAAAACCCAAAGTGACTTGAGCAAGATTTCGTCCGTTAGAGGTTCTGAATGATTTTTGATTGATTACCCAGCCATAGCATGCAGCATATTTACAGTCTGGTTTAGAAATGCTTTTGGCCTCTATGAATAGTTTCCTTCTTCATAACAGCTCTGAGAAGGCTGATTATTATTATTATTTTTTTGGTCTTTTACTTTGTTCATCTGGATGATTCTTCAGAGCTCTGTCCACATTAATTGACACGTCCTGACCAGGCCTCACTACTCTGAGTCATTAAACTGGATCATGCATGTGCTGTTGTTACCTGTGGGAGTGTTTTTAAATCTAATTTTAGGGCTTACTGTGTAATCCATGATGTCCGTGCTCAAGGTTTAGTGATGAAATTCTAGTATTTTGTTAGTTTTGGCTCTCATTAGCTGTGCCTGTGTTTCACCCATACAGTTTTGCCCCAGTGTTTGCAAATAACTTAGGTGTCCAACTCCAGGCCTCAAGGGCCGGTGTCCTGCAGGTTTTGGATATCACCATCACCGTAACTTTGTGCTGAACATTGGCGGGGTTAAGATCTCTGTCTAAATAAATAAATAAATCTGGGTATATTCCCAGATGATTAAACATGAAACGATTTTGCTGGTAATAACTGAAAAGAGTAAAGATAATCAATAACCTCTTTATGCAAGATAATTCATAATTTTATTGGGAGGGTTATATTGATTGGGTCTGATTATTGGGGGGGGTGATAACCCCCCTAACCCACCTGTAAAATTTGCCCCTGGATATCACCCTGGGTCAACACACCTGAATCAAGTGACCAGTTCATTACCAGCCTCTGGAGAACTTCAAGACATGTTGAGGAGGTCATTTAACCATTTAAATCAGCTGTGATGGATCTAAAACCTGCAGGACACCGGCCCTTGAGGCCTGGAGTTCCCCGCCCCTGGTAGGGAGTATGATTCTCTGCATGAGGTCCTAGGTTCAAATCCTGGACCAGCTCTTTGTCTATAAGTGTGTTTGTGGTAAATGATTTGATTTCTGTAAACACCCCAAGCTGTACAATATTCAGTCGTCCTCTCAGCAATTACTTTATTGACATGTTTCATACAAGATCATTTCCAAGAGCTCGTTTTCATGTGCTTGTTTTATCTGGTTTTTGTGCTGATTTCAGTTACATATAGTTAGTCAATGATCTGTAGTTTAATTAGATTTTTTTTTTTTTAATTTGTACCTCACTCAGTTCATTTTTATTATTATTATTTTTAATCAGTGCATTATTTAACCTACTTGAAAAAGGTTTATGGTCTAAGACTGGATTTAATCCACGTCATGTTTAACTTACTCTTGATAAAAAAACTCTACCTTAACTAATTTGATGGCTGCAGTTTATCTTTAATGTTCTCTTAAAGTAAAAAGGAAACAGTAACCCACCACTTAAAATGTGTGTAACTTCCTTCAGTGCACGTGCTCTGTGGCTTTCTGTGTCTGGATTCCTGCCCTGGGTAAGAGAGATGGGGTCTGAGTCAGTCCGGGTCACGTCGAAACCCTTTAATTTTATGGTTGGTGGTCGTTTGGAGTGTAGTCAGGATGAGTGGAGCACAATAACAATGTGTTTGGTGAACCAAAACAGTGCCCACAGCTATCACTCTATCATCTAATGACGGCTTTGGTTGATGATAACTGCACGAGAACCAAGCGAAACAGTAATTAGGGGTTGATGAAGGCATGCACAGCCTCACCTGGTCTTCCCTGTGGTTGTATATAAAGTGGCCTGAGAGGACAGAGTGCAGATGTGAGAGGACGGACGAGATGTGAGGTGCAAACTGCTGGAAATTGCAAAGGATCTGTTGAAAGCAGTCTCCATTCATAGAAAAGGTAGGATGAAATGCATGCTCTGTAGTCAGCACGAGTCTGCAGAGAAAGCCTGTTGAAACCAGATCTGAGAGCTTGTTTATGTTTTTAGATTTGTCACAAGTCTGATAAGTACAGTTATTGGACTAATAAGGGTGAGTGATATTGAATGTAATTTTGCTATTTAGTGACACAACCCTCCTTATTTATCCAGGTTTGGGACTGGCAGTCGTTACTTTTGTTATTTAAAGACCTAAATATTGATTTTATGGAAACACACATGGCATGGCAGCATTTAATACCAAGTGTTCTTATCATCATTTTGTTGGGCAACATGAATGAAATCACTGCCTGTTAATCATTGAAATCTCTAAAAAAACTATCTCTGTACGATCTCTTCGACTTCAGAGTGCAGAGTTTTATCTTTCCCCGAAGAGCATCGGTAAGAAATACGGATTCTTAGAAGCAACTTTATTTGTTCTGGCTGCGATATAAAAATAACTTTATTGCTCTGTAAGCCTCTATATATGATCCTAAAACAGAGCACTTTGTACTTTTTTGTTGTTGTTGTTGTTGTTTTTTACCTTATGTCAGTTTTTCAAATAGAGGAAGCCTAAGTTTGAATTCATTTTTAAAATTCTTTTTTATATTTATCCTTTATTATCAGAGTTTAAACGCCTGAACATAGTTAAGCGTTTGTCATTCGCTGGTACGTCAGGTGTTAATGACGGAGCTGTGATACTGATGAATGTGTTCTCGTCCACAGACGGCATTTATGGCAGCTTTACCTGCTTCACACTGGCCAAAGTTTTATTTCTCCTTGTAAAATCTCCCTTCAGTAGACCTACCCCAGTTTGTGATCAGTAATATAACACCAACGCCATCCCTTTCATGTGAACGTGTTAATATCTAGCCTGATAAACGCTGTGTTGACTTATTACTTCTCTGTACAGATTTGTGATCTTCCCCAGCTGAAGGATAAGAATTGTTACGAGTGACTGCAATTATGCTGTTTGATTTTATTTTTGGAAAAACACAAAGTACATCTTACTTAATCTTACAGTTTCAGGCGCCTCTTTTATTCACTGCTTTGTTTGGTTTAATCCCCCTGTGCTCTTCTTTTGTTTCGTTTTGTTACGAAATTCCACTTTTCTTCTTCTTTTTTTCTTACACCTACGTGTTTCTTGAGATCTGCCTCTTCAGACTACCCTTTTAAAACTTTCTGGTGCCAAATGACGACATCTATGCTCCTTGTACGGAGCCTCATGGTGCCGGCTTATTTAAAAAGGCGAAATGCGAGCAGAAAGTTTCTTTCTGTGCTTTTATGATGGATGGTTTAGTTTGTGGATTAGCTCACCAGTATGCATCACCCTAATTACTCACAAATTTATTAAAAGGATGCGTGGGTTTGGAGTGGTCATGGTTTGTTTGGTTGAACTAATCCATGGAAAGCAGTTATTCATGTTGTTTTTGAGGCTGGTGATAAAGTGTCAGCCAGAAGTCCTGTGAGACCTGTAACCCACCGCTGACTTCATTTCTGCCTTGTCAGCACACGAAGTTGGTGATGACGAGGGAAACTGGTCATTGAGCGGTGTTTACACGTGGGTGCAGTAGCCGTGAGATGTGACCGTAGTGCAGAAAACACTGGTAATAATGGTTAATCACCACAAGTGCTCTGATACCGCGGTGACCTCAGCCTCCGAGTTCACGGCTTTCTCTGGCTGCAGTATTCTCATGCTTGCTCGTGGATGGCTACCTGATCTGTAACGGAAACCCGATTTGTCTTGTGTGTCCTTCCTGTCAGCGCTTCAGTTTGACGGGATTCATTTTCATGCCAGTGTTAGATTAGATTTCCTCTTCATTGGTATTTCATATTATAGAGAAATATAATCCTTGTATTTATACTTATTTGTATTTAAATGGTGTATTTAAATGCCAGTTACACTTATTTTGAAAATGGGAACAAATCTTCAAGAATACATACTAATAAAAAAAATGTATCACTGAAATGATAAGTGAACATTATATGTTTACTTATTTGGGGGGTTGGGTATGGATCAGGGAGAGATTATCCTGTCATGATGGGAGACTAAAAAGACAAAGTCAGACAAACAGGTGACGTCTTGAGACATCCGAGGTCCTCTGCGTGCTGTCGGGATTGGTGACTAAGCTTTTTCCCTCCTTCACCCCTGTGCCAGCTCCCATGTAATCATCATGCTTTCCATCCATGGCCTTCACCATCATGTTGAAGAGCTCACGTCTGTGCTGCAGACTGCCAGTCTCGTCTGCCAGCCTTTATCTTATCTGTGGGCACACACACACCACTAAAACAGACATGGTGACATGAGCGTGACCCAACATTTGGGGCACTTGTTTTGATTGGACCTCAGCCATCTGCCAGTGAGGAATGTTTCTGCTCCTTCACTGTTTATCATAGCTCGACTTTTTGGAGCTGCACATCCTCCAGACGCTGAGATGCATGTGTATATTTAGTGTGTGTAACCTGGAGATTATCCCAGGCAGGTTTCTAACACTGCAGTTATGGTGCTCGTGTTGATATTGACATTTGATAGTTGACGATTTATGTCATCGACTGACTGCAAACATCCTTGTTGCATGTGTGTGGTGCATGCATGTGTGTGAGCGTGTATTTATATCATTGTGGGGACCAAAAATTGGAAGCTTACTATACTTGTGGGGACCAGCAGCACTTACGGGGACCTAAATCAGGGTCCCTGCAAGTTTGAAGGCATTTCTGAGACTCAAAATGTGGTTTTAGTGTAAGGGCTACAGTTAGGTTATGGTTAGGTATATTAGGGTTAGGCATTCATTTTTGATGGTTAGGGTAAGCATTATGCCAATTAGATGTCCTCACAAGATGTGAATACCCGACATGTTGTGTTTGTGTTAAGGAAGATTACATGGCTGGTTCTTAAGTTTCAACATATTAATTGAATGTTAAAGCCTTTCTTCCTGTGTTTGTTGGGTGGTTCATGTGTAACGTAGCAGCAGAGCTTCTTGGTTGGTGTCTGCCCATTTTCTTTGGTTTTAGAGGAATTAACAGATACATGTTGGGAAACGTTTGAGTCAGACTTGTTAGGCTGCAAAAAGAACCAGAAAACTGTAATATACTGTCCTGTAGAAAATGCGTCTTGGCTTTTCCCCTCAGTACTGGTCTCTTTAACATGTTCTCCCCTTCTTCTAGACAAACATTTGTCTCGAACATGCCCGTGAATGCGTTTCACCTTTGTGCTTTCACTCTCTAATATAGGCTGACACACCTTGACTCTCTTATAAAAAATAAATGCACAAGATGAGAGAGATATCAGTTTACTTCTGGCAGCTTTCCTGGGTTTTCACAGGGACCACTAACAGCAGTTAAACCACAAGGTGAAGCTTCAAAACAGCTGGCTGTTACTTCATCTCATTCTTAAGATTAGAGGTACTTAAGACCTTTTTATTTAACCAAGCAAATCCTGTTAATATGAGGATGTTTGGCTAAGGCAGTGGCATTATAAAAAGAAATCAAATATCTGCTAGGCTTCTGTCAACTACTTAACACAAACAGTCTGACTTCACTTATATGGACCAGTCATACTTATGTGACCTCCCAAAGACCAGTTTTGACCCATGAAATATGTTGCACCACTTCTATTTTGCACATCAGCGTGCTCAGTTTTAAGCCTTTCTCACAAATAGACTCTACAGGTTGCACAACATAGTGTCCACACACTCTCCCACTGCCTACTGCAGGAAAACCTCAGCTTTAAAAAGTTAGAAGGAGCAAGTATTTGTTGTATTAATTTTAGCTTGACTAATTTATTTTAGTACCATTGTTTACTCCGTGTGCCTGAACATTAGCAGCCAGCAGGAAAGAGGCCAAGGTTCAGAGCTCCTGCAACTTTAAGGAGGATTGTGCAACAGAGACTTGCAGGGAAGAAAGTTTGAAAAAGTGGTACCTAAAGATGCTTTTGAAGTTTTATTCTATTTCTCTCCTCCACCAACTCCAGAATAAGGCCTCATTAGGCCAAGTGGAGGGGAAAATGTGGGAGAAAGGGTGTAATTCACTGGGGAGAAGAGGAGAGTCTTCTCTTTGCCTCCTCAGATCAGAGACCTTTGGAGAGAGACGTAAAGACGGTGCCTGAACTCAAATTGGTTAGTCAACTTTCCCCAGATAAAATAAAACTTTTACTTTTTCAGGTAAGGCTGCATTTTTCCAAAACATCAGTGATGTTTGGAAGTGAGAAATTTCAAAGTGAATCATGCTGATCACTTGCTTGCACGTCAGCCTGCTTTTTCTTAATTAATCTTTTTCAGCTTTAGTTTTAAGTAACTGCATAGGTGTCAACAAGAAACACTTCAGTTGCAGAAAAGAAATATTCAGGGTTCGGCTCAGTTCTTGACTTTGTGGATCGGGTGTCAGACAGGAAGAGGACGAATCGATGGATAAGAGAACACACGGTAGATTTGAGCTGGCAGCTGCCATGTCAGGTTTCTTTTTAGTCCTCATGTCTTTTTGTCTACCTCTCCCTATTTGTTTCCTCCTAACCAGTGACTTGTAACCTTCATTTTATCTGTCTCCCTCTCTTCCACAGCCCACTGCACTCCTGAGGACCCTGCTGCTCTCTCCAGACTCACATTTCTCCCTCCCCACATCTATCTCAGCTCCCAAGTTACCCGTGAGCATTACTCAGCAGGCTGGGAGCCTCAGGGCAGACCGACTGAAACAGCCTCTTTACTCACCGGCTATCATTACGCACCTCTGTAGGAAAAGGTGAGCGCTTCTTTACAACAAAATGAATGGCTGTGTTTATTCAGCCCAGCTTTGCTTGTAGACCTGCAGGGTGCACAGACATGAATAGAGACTCTGTTACAACAGTGGACCCTATGTGGACATGATCCTATGTGATTGGACTGTCAGAGTTTAAAAAAGTGGAAATCATAAGGGTTTTATATAGTCGAAACACACAGTGTTGGATAAATCACCAACACCGATTGAGTAAAGTGTTGAAACACCAGTAAATCCTATTTCCGGTCAACAGACGGCACATTGGTTGAGATTGTCAGTGATAATCTGTGTGCTATAATTTCCTGTAATTGTCTGTAATTGGGGACTGTGTTTATTCCACTGTTTCCTGTTCTCAGCTTGTGCTTCGTGCTACAAAAGCTCTTTGTGTCACCTTGTGTGTTTGGTGTTTAATTAGAAGTTCACAGCTTTGCTTCAAGCAGCAGTTATTTTGTATATTATAGAGTGTTTTGGTACCAGTGTTTCTCCTGCTTTGGATGAGTCTCTGTTACAAGCTCCCAAAATCTTTCAGTTGTCATAATTCAGAAGAGAATCAATCTTGGGCTGGTCAGTGTGGACATTAAACTTAGGGTCAGGACTTTTTCATAGTGAGCAATCCAAACCACACAGCAGCATATTATTGTTGTAGATCGAGTAATACAATAAAAATTAAAGTAATGTCCACGCTGTAGACTGCGCCACTATTTTCCTCCTCTGACACACGAGCAGAAATCGGCTGATTGTGCCTAGAGTATGGATAGCCAGGCAGACTAACCATTCCAAGGAATTGGACTACTGGGTTCTCAATTCCCATCCCTACTGACGAGTCTCCCAGTACCTGTTGCCACAATGCTTCACCTTAATAATGCAATTAGCCCGGTAATGAGCAGTGCCTGGTTCCCTCCAGACATGATGCCTGGATTCAGGCCAAAGAGTGCAATCTTTGTTTCATCAGAGTGAAGAATTGTTTCTCATGGTCCGAGAGTCCTTCAGGTGCCTTTTGACAAACTCTGGGCAGGCTGTGATGTGGCCTCCCCGATGAAGGCCCGTCTACCTCGATCGCTCAGATTGGCCGGGATTAATAAGATAAACATATGAGAAACATCAACCCATATATTACTGTTAGCGTGCTTGTTTTCTATCAGACAATTGTCAGTATGCGTCAAAATTACTACTACTAACTGTGTTCTGTTACGTACTATCACAATGTTAACACACCTTATCAGGAAGTCGCATACAGAAACTATGCTGTTTAGACCGTATAGTGAATTTCCAGCAAATAGCGACGCGTGCTTGCACACAAACAGTGATGTGTCCAACAGATATTGATAGTCTGGTATTTCAGGTCCTCAACATGCAATCCAAGTAGTTTCCTAAAAAGCGAGGTAATGCCACATTCTCTTCAGTGATTTCAAAGATTTACTCAAACTTTCTTTTTTGTGGCTTCTGTCCTCCCCACAGATCGACGTCCTGCGTCCACTGAAGAAGACATGCTCATCTGCTGCCCTCATGGCCGTGCCGCTACATCCACCAGCCTCTTCCACTTTGACTTGGCGTTCCTGCTGGCTCTAGCTGTGCTGCTCTGCCAGGTGACTGGTCAGGTGGAGAGTCAGACGCAGTCACCTGCCCAGGTGCTACAGGACTTTCTGTCCCGCTATGGGGACAACAGCACCATCACGGTCCCTCAGCTGCGATCTCTGTTAGCAGCCCTCAGCCAGGGCCAGAGTGAAAGCGACAGCACAGCTGAAACACCAACAACCACACCTCCCCAGTTCAACAGCTCCAAGGTACAAAACCTTTTCATTCTCTCCATTTTAAATTCATATTTTATTTCTGTTGTGGAATAAATATAACGAATAGAAGCTAAAGACTAACATTCGTGCACCTTTGCAGGACTCTGAAGTAGAATCATAAATCCAGTTTTGTCTGGAAGAAACAGGCAGTACCGGTTCCAGATAGCTGAGCTGTTTAGCATATTTCCCATACTTAGTGTCGTGGCTCATTGACTCACTCACTTGTTGATCTGCCTTTGAATAGATTCGCTGTGAGTACTGGTGGCCAAGTATGAACCTTTCCAAAAAAAATAAGTGATGGCTAGGACGTCACACATGAGTCAGACGTTGGTTTGTGACACTGAAACGTTTCGTTTGTCAATAACCGGCCGAGCTACAGAGAATATTCAGGGTGTTCCACAGTTTGACTTTGCAGCATATTGAGGCATCTGCTCCTTCTACCACGTCACAGATATTAAAGCTTTTTATTATTTTCAGCACCAACTTTTCTTTCCCACCTTTGTAAAATAGAGTGTAGCAAACAAATACATGTAAAAATATAAATCTAATGAGCTGGTATTTATTACATGACAATAAATAACATTAAAATCTGAGCGATCACTTTATTCACCTAATTTAAATTTTTCACTCACTGTGTTTATTCTGTCTTCCTCTGTTTTTCTGATCCATCTTTTTAAGTCAGGATTAAAGCGACATCTGCCACATGCATCCCGAGTCAACGCATGCGCAACTAATCCCAAAAGCTCAGTCTTCTGATTGCATCAAACACTCTGTTCTGAACTTGTTTCTCTACTTCAGCCTTTTCATAATTACAATGAGAGCAGATGTTGTTAAAAAGCTCTGGATCTGAGTGAAAACACCTACTTTAGGTGCTGTCGCCCTCGTGAGTGGCAGTTGTGACGTCACTTTGGGACGCACTTTCCTTGTTTCTCCACCCCTTGATGTTTATGACCTCGGTCATGCGTTGCAGCTCAGTTGAAGACACATTAGTTTCATTGATAGCTCAGATTCTCCGATTATAAAGAGGGAGCTCTGACTTCTATTTCTGTTCCAGCATGAACATGAAGGTTTATTCTGAGTGGCAACACCTGTCTCTGAGCAGGTTCAGCCCGCCTCAGCGTGCCCAGTATAAATGTTACAGTGCTGTGATGACACAGTCGGTGGAGGCAACAACGAGGCCCAACAGAAAGGATTATTTTAAACCGTTACTTTGTTAGCATAGACTCATTAGAGTCGAAAATTTAATCATCATTTTTATTTGGTCAGATGCTGTTTTTTTATTTATTTATTTTATTGGTGACACCAATGTTATGCAATAGTGCCTTCCTGTTAATTTCGTCTAGTCTAGACTCCAAATATGAGTCTTGACAGACTCATTTGTGTTGTGTTTTCAGTCCACATGAAGGTGAAAAGCATGCTAACCTGTCACTGCATCCTGGTTATGTCCTGGCTAATTCACCAACAGTGAGATGTTCGCTTGTGTGGGTCATTTATGGGGATGTTTCCTGTTCCAGTGCTTGCCTGCAGACACACTGGCCATTTACAGCATGAGCGAGGAGTCGCGGCTGGATGGCCGGGGTTTTCAGGAGCTGTGCCCCACCATGCTGCAGCAGCTGGATGCTGGCAGCTGCAGGGCACATAAAGGGGAGGAGCAAAGCAGCGACAACTACCCCAGGCCCTCCGACGCTGAAGGTGAGCACCAACTAAATACTAATATTTAACATATTTGTATGTTTTAATTTCCTCTGGTGGAAATTGTACATATGTGTTGATCAAAGTTTACCTTTTGCTCCTTAAAGCCTTTTTCATTGTTTTTCATTGTTATTCAGAAGAGACACAGTTGGATTCATCCAAGCAGCATCTCAGACAAAAACAGCATGAATCCAGAAAGTGTTTCTTCTCCAAATATTTTCTTTTTAACTTCCTCTGCAATCGCTGTATTTCTTTCAAGGTTTTCTGTGCCTCATTGTTCATGTCATTTCTGTTGTCAGTTCAAGTATTATCACACACCTTGCAAATCTCAGCTCGAAATGTGTGTGTTTTGTTGCCTGGTGATTTTTATGGTGTCCCCGAAGGAGGTGAAAGCCAAAATAAGCACGCACAGTTAGCCAAGAGCTCAGATTGCATTTCTCAGTTTTCTGTAAAAACCAGCACATCTTTCAGAGTCCACAGTCCAGCTTCTCTCAGTGTTTTCAGTATGCAGCACAGATCTCATCCAGGTAAAGACAGTCCAGGCTGGAAAGCTCATCTTTCCTTGGCTGCTGAACCGCTGAAGCTCCGTGCAGGCTGCTGACCGAACACACCCAGCAGGATGTTCTAAGCCTGAGAGCCGCTTTGACGTGCACATCCTGTCAGAAATTCTAGGAAATGCTGAATTCAGTGCAGGCTGCTGTGTAAAGAGAAAAAGAAAAACCTTTGAGTCTTCATGAAGTAAAACTAAATTGGCTCTGGAGTGTGTGGCTGGTATAAAAAGCAAGCTAATCACAGACTTGGAGGTTTTGGTGAAGTCATGTGATGTTTAGTGCTCAAGGCCTCAGGATCATCGGTTCAGAAAAGTCCAAAACATTTGTTGAGCTTCAGCTAAAAGAAAAACAACAGCTTTCTTTATGCAGGCAAAGACTTTGGGCTTGAATCCTGTGCTGTAGCCGGTGTCCTTATTTATTTCATCCTTGACAGGTGAAGAAGAAATGGCCCCAGAGCTGTGGCTCCATTTCTCACTCTCCACTGACAAATTTGTTTTCCCTTATCAGGCCCTCATGGCTTCAGCTCACTTCACACTTTCCTCTTTAGGCAGCTTATTTTGGCTTGAGAGATGTTTTCCTAGCTGGAGGTTTACAGGTATCAGAGAGGAAATTTAATAACCTTTTCTTTTCTCATCATGTGAATAATCCAGCTTTACCCAAGGACTCACATTAGCACTGATATGCTGCTAATAGACATAAAATAATGATCCTTTTTTAACCAGATACTTGTTTTAATGATGTTTGATGACATTCTCTTTATTCTGCTGCTTATGTTCTTAACCGCGTGTCCAGCAGCTGTGTTTAAATGGTTTTTGACTCGTCTGCACGGCTCTTGTACACCGTGAACATTTCTCAATAGATTGATGATTTTTCCAGAAGTCTTGAGCCTCTTTTGAAAGAAACACTCTAGACAGCAGTAATGGAGACAGTTTGCAAACATGGAATTTGCAGGTTACTCACCAGCCACTTTGGTGTGTACTCCATCTCAACTCATTAGAACCAACCATCAGAGTAGGAAAGGTGATTTAGGTGACTGATAGGAAAAATATCCAAAAAAGAGAAAATATGAAGTGAGTGGCACGTCTCTGGGAAGAAATGTTTTGTTGATACCAGAAATCAGAGAGTGGCCACACAGCTTAGAGCTGAAAGTAAGTCAACAGTAACTCAAATAACCACTGGTTGCAACCAAGGTATGCAGAAAAGCATCTATAAACGCACAACATGTTGATCCTTGAAGCGGATGCACTACAGCAGCAGAAGACAACATCAGGTGTTGTTCCTGTCAGCTCAGTCCAGGAAACTGAGGCTGCAGTTCACAGGTATCATCAAAACTAGTTGTTTGGGGTATATTTTCTCACTTTGTTCTCCTTAGTACCAAAGGAGCTTTGGTTAAACACAACAGCCAACCCGAGTATTGTCGCTGACCTCATCCAACCCTTTTAATAAAAGATTCCAAGAGGACAGTTTTCCGGTTCACAACATCAGATCCTCTCAGACTGGTTTCTTGAACATGACCGTTCACTGTGCTCAGATGGCCTCCACAGTCACCTGACCTCCGCACCTTTGGGAGATTGACATCACTGTGTGATATTATCATGTCGTTATGAACCAAAATCTCAGAGAAATGTTTTCAGCATCCTGTGAATCTGTGGCATGAAGCGTTAAGGGCAACGCTGAAGGGAAAATGGGACCCAACCCAGCACTAGAAGATGTACCTAATAAAGTGTCGGGTGTGTGAGACCACAAGACGCAAAACTTAGCAGGGATGCGAAGTCAGCAAATCAATTTCCCATTGGAGACAATAAAGTTACCATTGAACATAAGAACCAATATCAAGTCAGTGATGGGAATGTTGGTGTCTCTTGTTTTTCTGTACCAGAGCTACTGTAGGTCCATTAGCTGCTGGAAACACTAAATAATAATGATGAAATATAAAACAGTGGTGCCAAGTAGTGAGGAAACAAACAGAGTTTTGCTATTGAGTCAGAAACCACAGAGTGTTTCACCATAGTTTCATCAGAAAGCGGAAACGATTCAAACTCATCTAAACGGCTCAAAGACATCTGGCTCTGTATTCTCTAAAATTCTGTTTGACTTTCTGATGTCATTAAAATGTTTAGGATAAAGTTCCCATGGTTCATAGCGGAGCTGGATGCTGTTATTGGGAAACTACTGTCACAGCTTCTGATCTGCATGCAGCAGATTTTCTTTGAGGAAATACTTTTTGAAATATGACCTGATTATCCTTTCTTTTGTATCCAGTTTAGTAACATGACGGGATGCTGATTTCCATTTTTTACCATTTCTGATCTGATACAATCTCACGTTTTTCTCCCCTTTATGCATTTTTTTAAACATTATTAAATATCTCTTTTCCTCAGCTGTACTCATCTCCCTTCATCACCATTGTTGCTCATCTGTTTACTTGTTTTTTCCTCAGCAAGAAGTTGAGAAGTTGTCTCACAGCATCCAAAAATTTGTTTTGCAGGATATGGAAAATCTAACCAATGGCTACTTCCTTTTATTCTTTTTACAGGTGTTGCTGGATATATTTAACTGTAGCATTGTGTGTGAGCACTTCAACTACTTCATGTACTTAAATTGTTTTATTTGACTGCTTTCTAGAGTCCAGGTGGAGTAAAGCTGCAGCGTATCATAATATAATTACTAAAACTAAAGAAGGGAACAGAAAGTGGATTAAACTGCAGGATTTATGTGGTGCATGCTTCTAGCTGATTCAACTGTCTGTGCAGCCTGTTTTTCTCCTGATCAGAAAATCTGTCAACACAAGTTTGAGCATTGATTTTAACCCCATGAAAATATAAGAACAGTTTAATTGAGTACTTAAAAATCAATAAGCTGCAGCTGCATACAGTCATATGAAAAATAAAATGCATCTGCTTTTAGCTCTCTTGGTTTTACGTATCAGGTCCATGTCAATCAATAACACGCGACATATTATACTGTCATATTTTTATCTGACAAAACAAAGTCAAATCCAAAAGCAGCGAGTGGAAGATCTAAATGCACCCAGTGATTCAGTAGCTTGGAGGAGCACCTTTAAACAGCAATACCTTGAAGTAATGGTTTCATCACTCTCTCACAGGACTTTTGGCCACTTTTCTTTACAACGTTGCTTCATCTCATTGATGTTTGCACGCGTTGTTCTTTAAGATCTTTAAGTTGCTGCCTGTGTTTGAGTAACGCCCACCTGAACGCTCCAAACCAGCAAACTGCCAAAAAGTCTGGCTATGTCTTGCCAGGTGCTCGCGCTTTGAAAAAGAGGTTTTGAGTGCATCATTGGGATCTTGCCTGGGTTAAGATAAAGGTTAATTAAGTAATGCAATAAGAAGATAAAATTATGAGTCGCTTGATGGTGTTTTTTAACGCCCACCTGAACGCTCCAAACCAGCAAACTGCCAAAACGTCTGGTTGTATCGAGCTGGTTAAACTGGCTGATGAACAAGTAATCGTGTGCCTTTGAATAGCAGCACCTGGCTGCAGGAAGCAGGAAGGGGTTTTAAAAAACTGTTAAAGAAATAACGACGCAGTGTAATATGTCGTGCGCTGTTGTTCATTTGAGGCTGTATTTAAATGACTGGAAGACCTTCTAAGGATCAGATTTTTTTTTTTTTAAATTATATGTATACTTAAACCTTAAAACTGAAAGATGGTGTTATTTCTTTCATATGACTGTTTGATACCAGATTTGAACTGACAGCAAATAGGCTGATGCTATCGTATGGATTTGTTGAAATAATGAGAATTTACTTTTTCACCTCTGCAGTGATGGAAAATCTACTGCCGTTGGCATGAACGTCAAAGTAGCTGCTGATCTTGCAGACATAAGACACTCACACAACAGTTTTCTCACATCCAACAGCCGGAGCCCACATGATGTTTTTGTTGTTGTTTTTAATGCTTGACCTGTATGATTGAATCTGGCTGACGTTATCTTTTATCCACAGCTTGAGCTGCATTTCTAGATGGATGACTGCACGTTATTCACAGCGCTTTGTTTTAACGTTGTACCTTCCTGTTACTCCAACTCCAGTTTGGGGTTTTTCTTTCTTAAGTGTGACAATCATCAATGTCTCCGCCCTGACCGGAGTTTTCATCGTGCCCCTGATGAAGTCGCGCTTTGGGAAATACGCACTCACCTATTTCATCGCGCTTGCCATTGGCACGCTGTTCTCCACTGCCATCCTGCAGCTGCTGCCAGAGGTTTGACATCGGGACATGCATACATGCAGACCTTTGACTTTCATACACTCATACAAAGATTACGCTCTGCTTCGTTCGTGGCATTGCCATCAAAAATCAATCAGTGCTTTCCACCCGACCCTCTCATAATGAGCTGGTGTAATTCAGCAAATGCTTATAGTACTGTAGTTAATGCTTTTCATGGCTTCATTAAAAATACCAAAAAACAGCTGATTGTGAGGGGGTTTGGTAGGAAACTTGGAAACGGTCTGACCTGCCGTCATTTACAAAATTGCGGCACTTTGGCCGAGCTCGCCATTGTCTCTCCTGTGTTCATAACTCTTTCCTGTTCCTGACTTTGTTTCCTTTCTGTGGCTTTCTCGGGCACTGTGGAATTTGCTCTGATCTGATGTGCTCTGGTGTGTGTGTGTGTACCTAGCTCTCCTGGTACTGAGATCTAGGCCACCTATGTTGTTTAACTGAGGAGAGAATTTCTGTTCTGATGCTAGAAAAGCTGTACAGACCTGAAACATGGTTTTAGTCACTGTTTGGGGGGGTCATGTGTTTCACTGTGTGTAACAGAGCCCTGGGAAATGGAGCACTGCACCCTTAAAGTGTCCTTCAAACTGAAATGTGACCCCTTGTTAGCACTGCTCCTTCTGCTACGAGTGGGCTATTTAAAGTTCGTTTGCCCCCTTTTGTCTCTGCAGTGTTTAGCCTGAGGCTATGACAGTGGTACAGACACACCTGAGTAGATCATAACAACCGTGTGTGGGCCCCATCTTTGTGAGGACAGAAAATTGGCATGCCGCTGTACTCGTGGGGACAAAAACCCACAAGTTTGAAGGCAGGTTTGAGGCTCAAAATGTGGTTTTAGTGTCAGGGTTACGGTTAGGTTATGGTTCGGGTTTAGGCTGAGGGTTAGGGATTTGTTTTTGATGGGGTAAGCAGCTAGGGAAAGCATGTCAATTAGATGTCCTCACTAAGATATGAAAACGAGAGTGTGTGTGTGAATGCTTGAGATTGGAGTAAACTATAATGACATCTTCTTTTTATCAGTGGAAATGAGGAACTGGTGATTATCTTCAAATACAAGTAAGAGGTGGTCTCACTTCAGCTGTTTTCAGCGGATTATCGGCTCGCTGTTCCTGAAAATCCTTTCATGTCTCTTTTTTCTCAGGATGATTTCATTTAATTGTTCCTTTCCAGGGAGTTAACTGCTTGGTCTTCCCTCCTTTTTTAAAACTCATGACGTTGGTTAACACACTGGTCATTAATCCGACAAGATTATTTCCAAACTGATTACCTCTTTCTCTCTCTCTCTTCTTCCCCCTTCTCTCTCCTCTGTTAATCAGTTTGGGGCTATGGGATCCTATGCGTGACACTGATCTCTCTGTGCTCGCTGGTCGGGGCGTGCGTCGTGCCCTTCATGAAGAAAACCTTTTACAAGCGACTGCTGCTCTACTTCATAGCCCTGGCCATTGGCACTCTCTACTCCAACGCCCTGTTTCAGCTCATCCCAGAGGTAGTGTTGGTGCTGCTGAGGCTCAGTTTGCTGCAGTGCATTTTTAGCAGGGCTGCTGTGTAGTTCCTGAAAGAACAGACAGACAGATAGATAGATAGATAGATAGATAGATAGATAGATAGATAGATAGATAGATAGATAGATAGATAGATAGCATTTGGAAATACAGTTAGGTCAATGTTTGTTTTTTAAATTTAATCTCTGCCCACCCACACAGTGTATTTCAAGTCAAACATTCAAGAAAAGACTTAAGTGCAGAGGTTCAGGTTTAATTTAAGGGGTTTAACAAATAACTGTTTAGACATTTAAGAGTGTCAGATCAACACTCTGCTGTATTCTTAAAAAGTAAGGATGGACTCACCAGCTCAGCAACAGCAAAAGGCCTGAAATACCACAGAAGACAAGAGAAGCAGATGATCACAGAATTATTTCCATGGTTTACAAAAACAAATGCGTACAAGAGACTCCTTCATCAACAGTAAATACAAAAGGCTTCCAGCAAGGTGCAAACCTCTGGTTACACTCACGAGCAGGAGGGCCAGATTACACTTTGCCAGAAAATATCTGAAGGAATCCGAAGAGCTCTGGAATGAAATTCTTTGGACCGATGAAGCCGGAATGGGAAGAGAAAAGTTTGGAGAAGTGTAGCAAATTATATGTCAAGCATGGTGGAGCCATACATGCCCAACAAGCACGGGCATGTATGGCTGCCAGTGGAACTGGGTCACTAGAGTTTTTTCTCAGTTCTGTACCGTGTGCTGGGCTGTACTCTCTGCTCATATTACTAAAAGGTTTCTCCAAAAGTCTCCAAAAAAGAATCTATATATTAGATATTCTTCAGTGGACGAGTCAGTCACCTGATCTCAACCCAGTAAGGCAGTTTTCAGTTTCTAGTCCTTACATTTAAAATGTTGTAGTTTTAAGCGGCTACATATAAAAATAACTGTAATTCCTAAACAGTTAATGCTTGAATTAAAGCTGAAACTCTGCATTTAAATCACATTTTGATGAATTTAAAACCACTGTGGTGATGTGCAAGGACAAAATGATAAACTGTCATTGTTCAAATCCTTGTGCACATGTATTTATGTGCACTAGTTATTTTTTTTCTCCTTTCACTTAATGTGAGATAAATCACAGTTTCACAGTGAGTAGGATGAGTTTTTATTGTATGTACCACTGAACAACAGAATAATCTGCTTTAAAGTTTATAGTCACCATAGACAGCACAAGCATTAAGGAAAATCAAGGTTTTTTGATTGGAAATGACATTAATAGTCTAAATTGTCTTGCAGACATCAATCAGCTGTGAGTCAGTCCTCACTTAAATTCAACTAAATTAATACGATTTTTGCAAGAAACACAAAGGACAGTGATTCAGGGCCTCTGATCCTGATTCAGGGCCTCTGATCCTGATTCAGGGCCTCTGATCCTGATTCAGGGCCTTTGATCCTGATTCAGGGCCTCTGATCCTGATTCAGGGCCTCTGATCCTGATTCGGGGCCCTTTGATCCTGATTCAGGGCCTCTGATCCTGATTCGGGGCCCTCTGATCCTGAACCACTGCCCTTCATGAAAGCATTCTTTATTGTAACACATTGCTGCACGTGTTAACATCATCTTCTTCTGCATGCTAGGCCTTTGGATTTGACCCAATGGTCGATTTCTACGTGTCCAAGTCCGCCGTGGTGTTCGGAGGCTTTTACCTCTTCTTCTTCACTGAAAAAGTTCTCAAAGTGCTCCTAAAGCAAAAAAACGGGGTGAGTGTATACCAAGAGTGACACAAATTGACTTCATTGTGTTTTATTTTATTGTTAGATAGTCGCTGTCATTCAAACCAGTCACCAAGATTACAGAAAGTACGTGCAAATGTTGAGAAAGAGTAATTATTTTCAAATGTGGTTCACGGTGTGTTGCAAAAG